TTTGAGCACACACACAACCACTGCCACACAGGAACCTCCCCAGCAGAGCAGCAGCTCTCCATCCAGCCTGGCCTGGAACCCTTCCCCCGGTGATGGGGCACCCACAGCTCCTCTGGGCAGCCTGTTCCAGTGCCTCACACCCTCACAGCAAAGAATCTCYTCCCAAAATCTGCTCTACCCTGCTCYCAGTYCAAAGCCATTCCCCCYTGTCCTGTCACCACGTGCACTGTGAAATGTCCCTCTCCAGCTCTCTCGGAGCCCCTTYMGCTACTGAAAGGCTGCTCTAAGTTCTCCCTGGAGCCCTCTGCTCTGCAAAGGGGAAAAAAGTTAATAAATGAAACATCATCAGTGGAGAACATTACTGATTTTTTCCATTGTTAAACACAGTCAGGAATTTACAATTTATTCACAAGAATTCTTTTTAAAGAGCAAAGCAAAAAAAAGTCTTACTCAAATCCATTTTTAGTTGTAATAAAAACCAGACGTCCTTGGTGACAAAGAAATTTTGAACAAGTATCTCTTTGCAAATCAGAAATGCACATTTCTAGCTAAAGGTACCTTTGTATGACAATTACCCCATGACCCCAGCCTTTCAATTAACCCACCTAAGCAATCAACCTAATAAAAACCATATGTGCCACTTTGTTTCCTCCTTTAGGCAGTTTGATTAACATCCTGCAGAGTTGTAGCAGGTCAGCATTCCAGCAGCTTTTTCCTGTGGGTGTAAAGCCCTGTCTGGGCAGCCACACAAAATCTGTATTTCTTTTCCAGAGGATCCCACAGGCAGTGCTTAACACAGGGCAAGGACTAGGACTACACTGGGCCTATTAAAACCTGCTCATTAAGGAGCAAACCCAGTGTAATTGTGGGGGTTCTAGGTCAGGGGATTGATTGCACCTACTCGAGGCTTAGCTTGCTTTACAACAGAAGGATAGCTAGGATCCAGTTTTTACTTTATCTTACAAGTGTTCTACTGACAATTGCAAAGAAAAGATAGGGAGGGGAGTAGTTGTTGGGTCATCCTAATCTGGATTTTTAATTACTCCATGTTAACATGAAAATTTTTTTACCCTCATGCAGAAAGCTTTGCATCTTCCTTTCTGGCAATTTTGACATGCTGACATTAGCAACAATAATTGATTGAGTTTCTAAAGATCACATTAAATCACATTTCATTCAGGACTTACTGTGTGCTGGGGTTTGCAGAGCTGACATTTGTATTCAAAGGTGGAGAACTGGCAGTATTTCCCTGTTTCACAGTCTTCATCAATGATACACTCCTGAAGAAAAGGATACAAGAGTAGACTAGAAAACATGCTCATGTCTATCCTGATGCTGTCTGACTTTCAAAATGGAATCACTGATTTTGTCTAYTCCCTCTCCCCACGCACACTCACCCTTCCACCACATTCTCAGAAAGTTTTAGGAACATTGGAAATGCATGAGGGCACCTTTCACAGTGTCCTGGGACAACTGTGCTTCAGAAGCTTCTCTTAACAAAAGCCCCTTTCCATGTTTAATAAAAGCTCTTCATACAAAGTAATTCCCTTTACAAAACCCTGTAACTTAGGGCAGTCTTGGTGTTAACCCCCATAAACCACAGTTAGAGATCCTTCCCAAACAGTGCCAGAGCTGACCCAACTGCACCTGTGAGACAGCAACAATTCCACCCATGGCTCAAGTGCCAGGTTCCCATTGGGACTGGCATCTCCTAGCAAGGAGCACTTCTAACAGTTAACATTTCCGTGTTTACAAATCCTTTCTGGCTTTTGTTTCAGCTCCTACAAGTTGTTTCACGTAGGGCTGGTCTCCATTACCACAGCAGATGGCAAAAACTGCTGAGTAGTAAGGAAAAAAAAAAGCATAAACCTGTTTTATATCCTGTATGTATTAAAAAAAGGGCAGAATTACATAGAATGGAATATTGTTTTATGGAAACTACTACCTTAATTTGAAACGCAGTAGCATTTCAGTTCCTAATCTCACAGTTGTCTAGACAGGGCACATAATTCATTTGTCTTTAATGAGATATGRATTCATTTGCCCTGAAATACCTCAAAACCTCTGTAATACTTTCCAGCAGCGCAAAGCTCTCACTGCTGTCCTGCCAAGTACACAGCACTCGTAAAATCAGGAACTTGTGTCAAAAAAGAACATCCTACAAAGAGCAGACATGGGCTGCAGACTGCAGCACGGGTCACAYCCCAGTGCTGTGTGGGACAGCCAGCTCTCTGGGTGGTTGCTCGACAGCAATGTGCCTTCTGAGCTCAAAACTAACAAATAACAACACACAGGTCCCTTGGTTTAGTCTTGAACTTCTCCATAGAGCTAATCTCATCTGATTCCTTTTCCCCCATTTCCAGAAAGACTTTAATTGGAAAAACTTAATTTCTGGTTTCCCATGTGACACAATATAAATGAATGCAAAATATGTCTACATGACATTACTGAGGGTGGCCTGAAGGCACTGGAGCTTGGCTTTAGGTGCCCAAAAGCAGCACCTTAGCCTTAAGATACAGTTAAAAACCTTAGGGAATTAATTGAGACAGGCCGTCAAAACACTGATGTGTGATGTTTATAAACAAAATTTTCCTAATGAGTTTGCAATTGATGGTCTTATCAGAGAAATGCATCTACCTCTGTTAACTGGAGAACAAKAATTCTCTGATAACCAGAAGATGTGTCTAAACATTTGTGATGTGAGAGACCCTGGGTTTTATTCCCAATGTCTGGAGACGTGGCAGCAATTGGAACCTCTGCAGAGCTGTGCTGTGTGTATCTATCTCAACCATTCTAAGATTATAACAGATGTAAACAAAAGATAAAAAGATAAATTATTTATGCTATACCTCCAGTGCTGGAGCCTGTATTTCCTAAAGCCTTAGCTGCTGCTGTCACCCTATCAGCTAAGGCTTGCTACTTAATTAGATAACATGGTTTCAGCTAAAACCTCAAATAAGCAGCTGCTGGAGCCAATGGATTAAGTCATGTAATCAAAACCAGCGGAAAAAAAAAAATTTCTCATTTGCCTTAAAGCTTTTCCTGTCATGATTAGTTTGCTACACGTGGGCAAAGAGGAAAGAAACACCACAGATGAACTTTCAATAATGATAATCCAAACTGTGATCTCTTAACAGATGTCACCAGATGACAAAATTGCCACCAGCCCACACAAAAGATTCAATCTCCTGACTGTATGTTACCTGAAGGTGAAGATTAAAAAAAAAAACAAAAAACATTTCTCTTAGAATAAATAGGTTGATCTAGGAGAGGCAGAAAGTAAAATCAGTCATGGTGATTTGTTTTTGTATCTCCCTACAACTTCAACATGGCCTGTAAAAGACAATTGCACAGCCTTGGAACCCTGAACTCWGCATGTTTTATGTGGGAAAACTGAACTAACAGCAGGGAAAAGGTAAACAACAACCATCCTTTGATTTCCACTGCTCCCTCACCACRGCTGGCTGGCAGAAGAGTTGTGGCAACCAGGGAGCAAACAAGGGAGAAGCAGGAAGCTCATTCCTCCCTGCCCATGGAAAGTGCCAGACAAGGCAGGATTTATTTCCACAGCTCACAAGAATGCTGTGAGCTTTAGGAGTGCTGCATGGACACTGATGAGCACTGACTCTCCACCCTTCAGGAGAACTTACTGATTTGCCAACCTGCTCTTACCAACCATATCTGGAACACTGAACCAATTCCAGCCACTGCCACTGTGTAAGAGCTCATTTTTGGTCAGGAGAAACTCATGACAAGGAAAGCTTTCTCTCTTCAGCAGTAGCTACTCAAACAGTAGTTTGATAGACAGATAAAATTTATTATCCCTCTTCTCTCTCTGCCCTCCTCAAAGTGACATTTCATAACCAATTGTCTCTCACGGTATGAGGCTGAAAAGCAAATACAGCCATATATTGTCCCCATAATTCCTCATAAATAGACTATTTGGGGTTACCTTATACTGCTAAAAGTGTATAAAGCATTTTTTTAACAAGAGCAGTGTTATCCTAAGGGTTTACCACACTCACTGTAAAGGGCTCTAACTGTCCTTGCTATTTAACATTTACATCTGACAGATAAATTGAATATTCAAACATGTCAATTAGCCACATCACTGAAACTCTGTTTCCAATTCATAGCATTCCTAAGTTAAATTAATTAAAAGCCACAAACATTTTTGACTGCTTACCCCAATAGTTTTGTGTGCTTTAAATCATTCCAAAATTTCGTTYGGTGAACTCTATCACAGTCCCAGAGTATTTGTTTAATTTTCAAAAGGAAAAAAAATGTGCTCACTTACATGATTCCTTTTGTTTTCTCCATCTCTTATGGATGTAATAACTGTCTCAGAAAAAACTGTTGATCCAGTTYTGTTATCTGTAACCTGATATGGGAAAAGAACAGAATATCAAACTACAGTTTTTATTAGTCCTTTGTTACTCTCAGTCCTGCATTCTGCAATAATTAACCCACTCCCAAGCCCCTCTTTTTTCCCATTTTGCTGTCACTCTAATTAAACCCTAATCTGAAGAGGAAAGTAGATGACAGGGCTGCCTCCTTATCCATTTAAAATGTCACTATAAAGAAGTTAACTGAGCAGGAGATGGTCATTCTTTTATGACCCATGTAATAGCTGTAGCTGCATCCTATTTTTAGCAGGCACTTTTTTCAAATAAATTATTACTTTGCACTAACCTTTCACGACAGGTATCCTTAACACCATGACTAGCCAGGTGCAGAAGAGATAATAAAACCCCAAAGTAACCATCATCAGGAAAGTTTACACTCCAAATTATTTGGTGAATAAACATGTAAAACAGGGTTTTTTTAAGAAAAGGTGTGTTAGAATGGAGAGCTCACCACATGTAAGTTTTGTCCTACCTTATCAATTTCTTGATGAGTCTGAACAGTTCTGTTGCCTACTCTGGTTTCCGTGTTGGACTCGTTATGGTAGTTGGGAGGTAAGTTTTCAAAGCTTACTTCTGACAGCTTTTTTGCCCCTTCCTCTTCAGCTTCCATCTGCCAAATTTAAAAAAAAAGAAAAACCAAAAAAAAACCAAACCCAAGCAAGGGTTAGCAAAAATGCCACAGAAGAGATGAAGCCAGGCTTCTTGTGCAGGCCCCAGTGGCAGCKACTCGAGTGTGTCTGCAGTCAGCACAGATGCCCCAGGATGGGAGCACTTACTCAGTGCTACAGACAGTCTGCAGCRGCTCTGATGGACTAGAAAAACAGCTAAACCCTGGAGCTCGGGGCTCYTGGAGCCCAAGTCAGTCCCTGCGAGGGAGAAAAGCGCGCAGGATAATGGCAATGTGGGATCTGTGCAGGCTGATGTCAATCAGGAACCCGGCTTTCTGTTCTTCACAGAAAACCACTACAGACTTCAGCCAGACTTTCCTATCTGACAAAGAGAAACTATTCTGCAAGAGAGTGAAACAGGCAAAGCCCCTCGAAGTCAACAGAAAGAGCCCTATAAATGAGGGTGCACGCACCCAGAATTTAATTCTCTATTTCAGTTCCTACTGTGCTTGTTCAAGGAACGAAAAAGGGCATGAATCTTGTAAACATACAAGAATAATCATGTCCCTTTGTTATTAGCAACCACTGTAACAGAGCTAGGAGGCCACAAGTTCAACCAGGATAAGCAACAGGATTTTTCCGCGGACAGAATCTTTTTGCTGTGTCTGTTTATTTTAAATAACAGCTGGAAATCTTTTTAAGTGCAAACCAYTTCTCTCCTAAGACTCTGTTCAAACAATTCGCACTCTGCGCTGTACACAGACCATGCCTTAATCCAGAACTGACTATAGAAAAGCAGGAAGAAATTCTGATTACACCCTTGAGCATCTTTGCAGCCCAAACTATGCAGTCTAAACTATGTGGATAACAGAGGTAGACTTTAGCAATTGTCCAGACGACAAATTATGCRATTATAGTAAACCAAAGTTTGTTTTCCCAGCAGATTGTCAGCTAAAGGTTTTTGAAGACTGTATATCTGAATGAGAGAAAAGAGAACTTGAAAGGAAGATTCTTAACAGGAAGGGGGGAAAAAAGCACACAAGGCAGGGAAGTGCAGGGGACACGGTGTTTTGACAGGCACATGAGACAATGCCTCGGGATCTGGTCTCAGTTCCTGCCTTTGAAACGGGTCCTGTGCTGTTCCGGGCCAGCAATTGGCGATGGAGATACGCCATCACCTCACAAGCGGGCCCGCTTCTCCGAACATTTCCAGGACACTTCCAGCTGTGAATCCTGGTTTGGGACACCCGCGTGTGCCGCACAAAGCCCATCAGGGAACTCTTCCCTGCTCCTCTCTGAGCCTGCGATCCGGGCACGCTGCACCCTGCCCTGCTGTCCCCCTCACGGCGGCGGGAGAGGGCCCGGGCAGCGCTGGGAGGGCGAGCCCTGAGGGGACAGGGCCGGGCAGCGGGGAAGGGCGGCCCCGGCTGCTCTGTGCCCGGCGGGGGCTGCAGCGGCTCCGGGATGCTGCGGCTGTGCCGGGGGAACACGGGACACGGAGCCCCCC